GCAATAACACATGCATCTCAACACAAGAAAATATACAATACAAATAATGCACTTAATAAAAACTGGTTTAGTACACAATGAGGAAGGTAACTTGTAAGTGGCCCAACCCGTGTCGTGGTGCGATAACATGTGTCTCAACACAATACAATCAATAATTTTTTCTAGGCAGTAATAAATGTTTTTGTCTACCCAAAATACACTTATATTATAGTCTCATAAATTTTTCAATGTTTTCTCGTTTCTGTTATTTTCACTCACCAATATTCTGTGTACAACTTTTGTCACAGAAGTCTCATTAATTTGGTTAAATTTAAAGAGAGAAAGAAAAAAATGAGTGAAATTTTACATTAAATAGCTTAAAATATTTCAGAAAACAAAGACGTACACCACTAAAATCTGAAATGTAGTTTTAAATGTACATATTTAAACAATGCTATTTTATGAGACACTTTATATCTAGGTGAAAAAAAAAAGTTTATTTCATTTTCTAGCCAAAATTTTGGGTTTACACCTTCTTTAAATTAAATAGGCTTAGTTAGTTGCGCCATGTTTAACTTAAGATTGGGTAATGCCAGAAAATTGAACAATAAATATTTATAACTTTAGAGTAGCTTATGAACATCTGTTGTCAATTACATTGTTGCTGCCTTTTACCAAATTTAATATAACTCAAAAGTTTACGAACAATTTGTTATCAGTAACTGTATGTTAGTATCTGCGATCTGCCATAAATAAGACTAGCGATTCTATGCGAGGATTTATAAACAGTTTATGCTCTAACTGTTCAACTAAGTAAATTCTGAGTGACCCTAACCCAGTTTCAAAAGGGACAATTATGAATTTAACTCTGATAATTGGTTCACTTCTTTTTACATGGTTAAAAACATTAAAATTACTAGTTCTTCACAACAAACATCACACTACTGAATTCTTAGTTAAAACAAAAAAAAAACATCTACATGAAGGATAGCACTGTCCCAGTAAATATAAAATACTTGGGAATAATCTGATATTGTATAATTCTGAAAACAGAAAATCAAGTAAAATAAGACTTTGGGAAATTGGGGATGAGTTACATCCTTATCGCTAAGATCATAGATTAGGTTGAGTTGATACCTGTAGGCTTAATATTCTTCATTATCCTTACACCTGTAAAGGTGCTTCCATGCTAAAGTTCGTACATATAATGTAACAATATCGTCCTTTTGTTGAGCTAATTATATGGAACTGCTTGGTGAAAATAAGGCCAAGTTCAGTACGCCATAACGATAACAAATTAGTTTATTTCTTAACTTAAAGGCTACTATCACTTGTACAGCTCTACTTGTAGGCCCAAGTTCACAAATAATGTTTTCACTTTCAAATTCAACAGACTTACTTACTAATTAATGTACAAATAAATTTACTTGTACATATTCATGGTTAATCAATCAAGTAACTGAATATATGTGATAACTAGCACTGATAATTCACAGAAACTAAGTACTTCAGTGAATGACTGGCACTCTACCAACTAACAAAATTGACTCAATGCTCAACTGATTCTTGTATTCTGTAAATTACTTAGTTTCTCGATCACTAAACTCCAGATAATTCTAGGACTACTTTTATAAACTTACTTAATTTTAACGTTATGCACACTTTAGCTTACATCTAAATTAAAACTCTGAAATTATAGTTTACTACAATAGGAAGATAGAAAGGAAATGATGATGAAAATTAAAAGGTAAAGAATACTGTTGATGTAAACAGATTGGCATGTTTCCTGTGGAAACTTTCATCTTACCACCTAGTACAACTTAAAAACTGTGGAACATGTTAATAATAACACACAAGTATCTCAGTGAAAACTATCTGTAAAAAATGTGACACAGATAGTGAACAGCGGTTCTTACACAGCAACACAAAAAAAATGTTCCATTTTCCACCGGGTTCTAGTTATTAAGATTGGAAACTTACAGGTTTTATTTAGTTCTATGTTCAGTAACTATACTTTCATCAATTTAATATGGTGGACACTTAACAGTTTTTCACATAATAATACTATTTCACATTTTACGACTAATTAAATATGACGTTTTAGAAGTTAAGATAGGCCTAATTGTGTATTCTTTCCTATTATTTAGCCTAAAAATATTTATTACCCACACAGTCACAAGTTTTGTTGTTAGGTAACAATGTTTCTCATACAGTCACAACTGTTGTTGTTTGATAATATTTCCTACAAAGACATAAGCTTTATAAACCTTTAGCTATTAGAAACAATGTTTCTTTTCACACATTTACAAGGTTTATGGCTGGTTGTTAGGTAATGCTACTTATCCACAATGAAAAGTAGTTCATCGTATACGTAGTTTATAAAAGAATACTTCAAAAACTTCGGTGTTATGCTACGGCTCAGTTATCCATAGTACAATCTACATAACCAACTGTGAACCTGTGAACTGTATCTTTGTCTGTACACTACCAACAAAGAATTACAAGAAATTTCCTTATAAGAGCTTCATAAAAAGAAGATAATTCCACTTATAGGCCTTAAACAACTTATTATAAAATACATTAATTTACTGCTTAGAAAGTTATGAACAAGTTTTACACAATTTTAAACACAACACTCCAACTATATTATTTAACCAAGATTCTACGAACTGATAACTTACATGTCAAATTAGTCCCGAAATTCCCTACTCTACACACATTACAGGGATCGTAGAACATGAACATTAATCACAGATAATGATGTTCATGTTCCAAGTTGTGGAGCTGAACATGTTCAACACTGGTTACTCGGTGATTTGATTTGTTACAATAATAGTGACACTTTAGGTTTAATATAACAATTTCATGAAACACGATCTACTGACGATCTTGCAATTTCATTATTTAGATTATATTCTGAGAAAAAGTGACAAGCTATCAACTTCTGATACTTTTGTGATTATAACAGTTAAAATATTATTATTAGTACTATGCATTGCTTTGC